GACCTCTTTTAACATGTTTTCTTTCCAAAGACACCTCTTTTACTACCAAATAGTAATGTCCCAAATGCTTCAATGCCATTAGTATTCAATGACAGGTGAGCCCTTTGGGATTCACATTAACAGACAAACCATCAAGAGGACTTTATCCATCAAAAAGCATTTGTTAAATATCTTTGTCAATACAAGAGTATCTATTTGCAAGGCAAGTATCCAAGTGGGGGAGACCACAAATGCATATATAATTATGTAAAGGACACATTTAAAGTGTGCCATTACAAGTATATCCAAAGCAGTTTAAAAACAAGATAGTTTGGGAAGGAAGGCACTAGTAGTTGAGAAGAATCAGGAAATGATTCATATAGAAGTTGGTACTTGGGCGGCATCTTTAAAGAAGAAAGGGACTCTGAGGTGGAAATAATGAAGGAATTCATTTCAAGTGGGTAGGACTGCCAGAGCAAAGGGTTTGGGATGCAGCATTGTATGTGAGGAGAAGAGACAAAGTCAGCTTAACTGAACTACAGATTGCAGGAAAAGAGTCATGCTTAGTCAGGCTGGAAGGATAGATTGGGGACAGGCTGTGAAGAAAGGCAGAGTGGTTGTGGTGGTGGGGTGCATCCCTTTCAAGTCTTAATTAGAGCTGTGTAAAAGTGGAATTGACTAACTGAAGTAGTGTTTTCCTTCTCATTGTAAGACTTTGAGTAGAGGTTATATGACTATTGTTGTTGCTGGGTTGTTTAAGTAATGCCTGATTCTTCACCGACCCCATTTGAGATTTTCTTGGCAAAGATACTGGAGTGGTTTGCCATTATGTTCTCCAGCTCATTTTACAGATGAAGAAACAGAGGAGACAAACAGGGTTAAATGACTTGCCTAGATTCACACACCTAGTAAATGTCTGAGGCCACATTTCAACTCATGAAAGTTCTATCTACTGTGCCACCTAGCTGCCCGCTGGTTGAAGTACCTACTCGTCAGGTACTGTATGTTTTTGAAAAGGTAGTCTTATAATCCAAAGCTTATCTGAAAGAAATTCCCTCAAAAACATACTATAGATGACTACTTTTCAAGTACTGTATGTTTTTTTTTGGAATTTCTTTCAGATAAGTTTTGGATTATGTAATTACAGAGGCCTTTTCCAACCCTCAATTTCTATAATTCCCCATTTGTCTGGAAGAGGTGGCCTTAAATTATAGAAACACCCAACCGGTGGGCACAAGTGCTCGAATATGAATATGAGACTTGCTAGTGGATGGTGAATACAATTTTAACCAATTTTTGCATGGAAAAGATGAAGGACCCATAACCTCCTGCCTTCCTTTTAAACATCTTTGCAGACAAGTCTAATATTTATTTTAAGTACCTGATGCTCAAATGCAAACTTAGAGATTAGTGCTATTGACCCCATGCAATTCCTGGAGAGACACACTTTTGGAAGA